GCCAGCTACAGTCACAAATGCTGATGGGGAAGAGATTTGCTTTTGCTCCAGTTAAAATGACAATTGGTGTCTTGGCCCATGATGCAGATAAGATGGATGCCGAGAATTATGTTCGCTATGTTCGCTATGTTTACTCTAAGCAAGGGAACGATTGCCTCAAACCGCTATCTCCTTTTGACTCTGTACGCATTAGCTTTGTCCCTCTCTGTAGAGCTGGGGAGGACTCGAAAGCCTCAGAGGTGGGTGACATAGAAGAAACCAGAAAGAACAGGGTTTTGCACCCTCTCCTGAGCTAGTCCCCCGTTCAGATCATGGGGTGATTAGTGCTAGGGAGTGAATCAGCTCAGCTGTTGGTCCTTACTCTTGGAAAGAGGCAGGTGGAGAGAAGGCGGAGCGACAGAGTGATGCCGAGCAGGAGCAGGGGGAGGCGGTGGTAAGCCGGCGGGCATACCTGCACTACGTGGCTGGCTCCAGCTGCCCGGAGCTCACCTCCTCCCCAGCCCTGCCCCGCTGCTCACCACCACCGCCGCCATGCTTTCCCCGGGGCTGGCACGTGCTGGGCGAGTCTGCTGAGCTGTGACGGCCAGGCTAATCAGGGTCGATGGCAAGTGTCTGGAGGGAGCTACGGTCACTGCAGCATCTGCAGAGTTTGTCAGAAAGGGCCTCTGGATGCCGCCAGGGCGAGGCAGAGGATTTGCTCTGCCCGAGCTCAGGAGGGAGTTCAGAGACTTTGCTTTGTCTTTTGGCTTTGCTCAGCCCTGTGCTTCCCTCTGACAGCTCGATCCCCAGCACTCCTCACCCTCCCGCCGCTTCTCATCCCTGCGACATACTTTTCCCCCAACATCCACTGCTGTGTTGGAGCGGTGAACGCATCTCTGTTGTGCTTGTGGCTTTGCTCCCACGGGATATCCTACCAGGAGTACCCCTGCTGCCGAGGTCCCATCGAGCACCCTCCCCCACCCCTTGCCCAAGGTCTTGGGTGAGCAGCAGGGAAGCATTATCTGAGCATCATTTCATGAGGATCCTTCCCTGGATCCGTTTCGTTTCCTCCTTTCCCCTGGTCTACTCGTGAGGGCGAGTGGGGAAGAGAAAAGGCCTTTCAGAGCCCACACCTGGCACTCATGAATATTTCATGTTTCTAGCTTTTCTTCCCCTTGAAGAGCAAAACCTTTTCATATCAGATGCCCTGGGAGCCTGTTTGGTTGCTGAACGTTGCTTCATCAATGCTCTCCCTTCCTGCTTTTCCTCCAGACTGCCCGGCCCCTCTTCCTTTCTCTTCTCAGGGAACGTCTCCTTTTTTCAAAGGCTGCTTCAGAAAAGGTCATTGTCCCTTTCATATTCCCTCCTTGCTGTGAGCCAGCGTGGCTTCTACTCTGCCAATGGTAAAGGACAAATGGGGATGTGGGGAAAAGCAGCAGTGGGGAGGGAGGACAGGAGATGTGCACACGTATGCTGCAGAGCAGTGCAGAGGCAGAGAGGAGATGTAGGCACAGCGAGAGAAAAGTAAAGGGGCAGAGGGGCAGGCAGAGATGGTGGAAGGTGGGAAAGAGGCAGCAGCAGAACTTTGCTGAAGAACTGGCTTTCCAGCACCTTCCAGAAGTTGTCATGCAAGATGCACTGGTGTTGCTGTGGATGGGGTCCTGTCTGGCAAAGGCCCCTTGGAAAAGAGACGCGTCCCAGTTCTCCAGGGCAGGATGCTCCCAAAACTGCACTGACAAATATGCCGCCACCCCTGCCTTGCCTTCTGCCCATTTCCATTGCCCTGCAGCTGCTTTAGAGACCTTGTCATCTCAGCCACCAGAGTCTGCAGTAAACCATCCTTAGGCTTTTCAACCTTTCTCCCTGTGCTTGAGGAACCAGGGACCGTTTGCAACCTGCTCCCAGTCAGGCTGTGCTAACCCCGAAACACATTGCTCTGTGGGTCCTGCCTGAGTGGCGCTCATCCGCTCCTGCCCATGAAAGCATTCAGACGCCTGGCAATGAGGGTCCTTCCTTGGAGACCCGCAGCAGATGCCCTAGCGTGGCTGCCAGACCACCCCGTCCCTTACTGGGTCTAGTGGACTGCAAAGTTCCAGCCACAGACAGACCCACGCAGGGCTGCTGGCTCAGGAGGGGATGGGGAGGCTGCGAGGGCTTCCCCCTAAAGTGCCTATAGGGGCTGGCACAGGTGCAGGAGGGGCACTGCCAAAATGCCATAGGAGAGGATGGGGCTCAGGGACTCCGGCATAAGTATTGCAGGCAGCACAGCACAGGCAGCAGGCGAGGCTAAGAATAGAGAGAACAAAGGTATTGAGTTTGTATTTACACTGTGGCTTTCATCCATATGGAAGCAGTAGTTGAAGTACCTCCACTAACTGCGTGAACTCAGCAGAGGAGGTCCGTTTTGTTTGTTGATGGAAAACTGATGCCTCTGGTGAAAAATGGGTTCCCAGAGCAATTGCTTTGCGGTTTAGGACAGGAAGCAAAACAGGCTTTGCAAAAAGTGAAGTGATGGATTTGTTTTAGAGGTGGTTGGCCCGTAGGAGAATTGCAATTGATGTTTGGATGGGTATAGGTTCAGTGTTCTTGCATTTGGAAGAGCCAATCTCATCCACAATCAGCATCAATGGGCAGAGAAGGATGATTCTGTTCAACTGGGAGATTTTTAAAAAATCAAAATTGGGTTTCACTTGGATGTAGAAACGGAACCCACCAATGCTGAAATTCTTTGTGGTGTGGAAAAGATGCCAAGCGCTGGTGCCACCTGGCTGGTGGCCACCTGCCTGGCATGGGGCCACCTCCTGGTTCTTGGGTTATGGGCCCAGGCACCCCAGAGGGCCTAGCATGAGGGCATTTGCTATCATCCTGGAGCTGTGGATAGCATGATCCTGTACCATCAGTAGCCCCTCTGAGAGTCAGGATGGAGAATGTATGGGCAGGCAGGATGTTTCCAAGGAAAAGGCAGGCAAATTTTACAAGTCACTTGTCTTCTCTTGGAACATGGACAAAATCAATTTTTGCAAATTCTGACCCAACAAGTGTGTTGTCTGTAAAATTCTGGTGGGGACATCTGTTCTATCTGTTCTGCATTTCAGCGTAAGGGCAGTCTCATTCTTCCTATTACCTCTGCTCTGAGATGGAGCTAGCATCAATTGATCTAAAAATCATCAACCCCTCTTGCAGCGCTGCTGGCACAGCTTCTCGTGTCACTTGGCTCTCCCTAATGTACTGACCAGGACAGTTTATGAGAACTACCGAGCTCGTGCTGTGAAGCAGTGTTAATGCTGGGAACATGCTGCACTGCAGTGAGGGTGCGTGGCCTTAAAGCCGAAGTGTTGTGCAGAGCATTGCTCCAGAGCCTGGCAGGTCACAGGGGCAGGCAGCAGGGCACTGTGGCTATGCTGCTGGGCTTTGCGCGGTGGCAGATCAGAAAGCTATCAGTGACTCATGGCATGTCCGTGATCCCCAGCGAGCGGCTGGAGCTGCGCCCCTGCACTGCTGAGTTACTGATGTACTGTCTGGAAACTGCGTTAACTGGTGACTAGTGATACAGCTGGGCAGTCAGGCAAGCAGGGCTTAGCTGCGGCTCCACAGCCTGGCCTTAGAGCTAATGCCATCATTCCTTGTCCTTCACAATCCCATGTAGCCATCCTTAAGCATCTTTTCCTTCCTACACATCACCTACCTGCAAATACCACTCCTGTTTCTCCCACCCCCATCCGTCCCTGAAACATTCCCTCCTGAGCTAAACCAGTCTGATGCCCCACACCAGGCACCCTTCTCCCTCTCCTTTCAGTGTGTGTGCACCCCACGCCTACAGGCACCCCGCAGGCATCCCTTCCCTCCCCGCTCTGCGGCGTGAGCAGCCCGGGGAATAGAGGTAGAGCGTAATGCACAGCATCGTGTAGCTAATTACTTGACGCTGGGCACACAAGGGGGATTAACTTGTGCCTCAAAGGGCTGTCAAAGAATCCTAATCTCATCTTCCCCTCCTCTTTCCCCTTCCACTGCTATCTGAAGTAATGAGCTGGTTATAAATACCTAATTAGCTAATTATTTGCTGGCCTACATGGAACATCTTCAGTGAAGGAACTCCCTCGGCCCCCAGGGGAGGGACCTCCGTGGAGGAGAGGAGAGACAACCGCACGAGGTGTGCGTGGGGGTAAAGGCGGTACGGTGATGCTCAGAAAGACTTCTAGACTTTCGCCATCCCTGGAGAGCAGAGGAAAAGTCATTAGCTCCGTGGAGAAATGAGCCTATCCTTACCCCTACTTGTGGCTGTGTAAGCTGAAGAGCCAGGGAGAAATAAAACCACAGAAAGAATTCATTAGGTAATTAGAAAAAAAAGGCCAGAGGTGCTGTGCCGACAGTATTTCAGGCTGTGCCCGCTACCTGTGTGCTCTAACCCTGTTGGGGATGGAGAACTAGACAAGAGAGGAGAGTGTGGTCTCCATGACTGTCCCCTGATGAGACTGTCACTGAGAAGACCAATTTATGCCAGTTGTTTGTGTGTGCTGGAGGCCAGGCAGGCTGGCCTTGGGCCGTGGATGCAGTTCTCATGGGTTGCAGCATGCAGTCATCAAACTGGGATGACTTTCAGTCCGAGCCATTGAGGCCATTGAGCTGCCGTGCACCTTTAGGACAGTGTTTTCACTCCGTTGCCCTTCTGCAGGGAAGGGGGAGGGAGGGATATCAGTCAGATAGCTGAGGGTACCAAAAGTCTCATTCCCTTTTCTTCTCACTGCTGCAGACAGAGGCCTAGGGTTAAGATACCACGGCATCACAGCAGTTCTGCTGTCTGCCTGTCAGTAGAGGTTAGGACAAGAAAGGGCAGTGATCATAAACCTAGCCTGGTTTGGGCAGTAATTAATTTCCAACACTCTGCTTTTATCTTCATGTGGCTTTTTTTGTGTGTGTGTCTCCTAAATTTTCCTTTCTTTTCCCTCTCCTTCCCTTCCTTTTCTCTCTCTCTGTTCCTCCATCCCACACTTGCTCCTTCTGGCTCTCTTCTCCCCCTGCAGGCATGCGCATCCTTGTGAACTTGCTTCTGGACACCTTGCCCATGCTGGGGAACGTCCTTCTTCTCTGCTTCTTTGTCTTCTTCATCTTCGGCATCATCGGGGTGCAGCTGTGGGCTGGGCTGCTCCGCAACCGCTGCTTCATGGAGGAAAACTTCACAATGTGAGTGCCTGGGAGACGATGTCCCCTTCCTTTCTTCCAGGGGCATTTCTCTTTCCCCTTCCCTGCTCTCACGTCTTCTGCTGCCTGGCTCTCTGTGTATCGCTTATTCCAAATGGCCGTAGGGTGATACTGGGCAGAACGTTGGCCAGGTCTTGCAGTGGAAAAGGAGGGAGGGCAAAGGCAGCTGGTTTTAGTCTGTCTTCATGGTCCACAGATGCCTGGGCTCATTTGGATTTGGCCAAGGCACAGGTTAGCATAGCTGCCTCCTCCAGGTGTACCCAGGGATTCAAGATGCTGCTCCTACTCCCAGAAAGAGTTGAAACTCTGAAACACCAGCCATGCCGTCTTTCTCCTGAACTTGCTCCCTCTTCAAAAAACAACAACCAGAGGAGTCTTACAGAAAGCCATAGTAGTGCCTGATGCTTCCAGGGACATCTTTGGCACCTCTGAGGTGGAGCTGAGGTCACTGTTTGGACAGCAGTGCATTACCTCCGGAGGCTTTGGAGGGACACAGCGAAATTATTGGAAAACTTCAGGAGTAGAATTGCACGTGGGAGGTGCCATGGGGAGGAGACGGAGGGCTGTTGGGAGAGGTATCCCACAGCTGGGTCAGTAGAAGTGAGAGCATCTGAAAGCGAAGAATGGCTGCTTGAATGGGACAAAAAAACCATGGGGAAACACGGGCACAGTTCTGGCAAAGAGACCTGGAGCCACAGAGGGGTCGATTACAGATATCTGAGGTTTATTCTGGGGGGTCAGAGGGGAGCCTGCAGAGCACGGCTCTCCTCCTCCCCAGAGGCAGCGGGGTGGAAAAGCTCCTGCCTGCCGCGAATTCTCCGATTATCCTCCTGGGGAGCAGAGCACCAGTTCTGGGGCACAGCTCCTCCTGTTGACTTTCTGGCTTTAGCAGATCTCAGGCTTTAAAATGTCTTCTTAAAACCATATACTAATTCCAGGTGTCCTATCAGTTTAGACTGCTTAAAAAAACCTAAAGCTGTAGATCAGTTTAGACTGATTAAACAGTTCTGAAGCTTTAGATCATCTCAAATTGGTAAAAAAATAAGTGTGAAAATACAATCTGCAGAACAGCAGTGGGGTTGGAAAGCAGGAGCTGCTTAAAGCAGCTATTTGCTGTGTTTATATATTCCTTGGGGAAAAACAAATGTTTATGATGATTGTCCTTTATGTAAATCAGGGGTAATACTACTTTAATGAGTGTAATTACATTCATGCAGAATTGATGTAACTGAGAAGTGAATTGGGGCCACAGCCTGCAAAGTGACAGATACTAGAAAATCTTTGGCTGGCCATTACTAGAGAAATGAAGTCTGCAGGCACCCAGTTCACCAATGACGTGGATGTGTTACGACAGATCTTTGTGGTTTAGTCCCGCTTAGTGTAGAATCAGAGACTTTCTCTCTTTTCTTTTTCATCAACACCTGTCCTCTTCCAATGACACTTAGTGAAAAAGTCTGCATTCATGCAACGTGAAAGTTGTGTATTGTAGCACTGCAAGGAATGCACCAGATAAAAGTTTAATGGAAAATTTTAAATCTCCACGTTTCAGTTTCCTGATCATTAGCTCATCTCCAACTAGGCAAGCACAGATGATTTTAATTATTCATGCATTTGGAAGGTGCTTGCATTATTTGGAAGAAAGCACATGAACTTGTCATGAAACATTGCACCCATAATGCTAACTGTCAAGGAGGAGTCACAGTTAAGGTTAAGTCAGTTTTAACTTTGCATTTCCCTATTTTAAGCTTAGCTGTGCAACCTTAATTATGCATGAACTGGATTTTTTTTTTTTTAGAAGTACAGAAGGTTCACTACCAAATGTTATAAAACATGTCCATCAACGGTTACATACATGAGCACATCACAGTAAAGCCTGATGAACTTCCTTAATATCACTGCATCTGATTTAGCTTTGATGCTAATGAGAAGAGTGTTCAGAATGTAAATCTCTGCATTCCAGCTTTTCTTCGTCTCCATGCAAGTAGATTGTGAGTGATCCGATGGCAGGCAAAGCTTTGAAAACTGGGGACTCACATAAGAAATTTCTCGTTTTCCAAGAGCCTGTCTTCCCTTCCCTTCTCCTGAGGCAATAAACCTGGAAATCCCTTACCCAGTGCAGTGCCTGTGTCAGGATGGGAGCTCCCAGCTCCACCAGTGTCGCTGATGGGAAACTGTCTGTTATAGGAACTTTATGACTGTGGGTTTTTATCCTTGCAGACAAGGTGACATTGTCCTGCCCCCTTATTACCAACCTGAGGAAGATGATGAGATGCCCTTTATCTGCTCACTGTCAGGAGACAATGGAATTATGGGCTGTCACGAGATACCCCCATTGAAGGAGCGGGGCCATGAATGTTGTTTGGACAAGGACGATTATTATTACTACAACTCAGTCCGGCAAGAGTTCAACATCAGTGGCATGTGTGTCAACTGGAACCAGTACTACAACGTGTGCCGTACAGGCAACGCCAACCCGCACAAGGGTGCCATCAACTTTGACAACATCGGATATGCCTGGATTGTGATATTTCAGGTAAGACCGTGTTAACCTCCTAACCAAGGCTCAAGCTATTTTTCTGTTTTCCAACTCAATCTTTCTGTGCTCCCATGATGGTTTCTGCAGGACGTGATACAGCTGCAGAGAGAAAAGGGCCTTGTAACTACTCTGGCAGGAGAGACAGAGTGCACACCAGGAACGGTGTTCCTGAAGATGAGGAGGGATATAGAGCTATTCCAGGCCCTTGCTGAAATGAGCTACACCCTTGTACCAGTTTTCCCTTCAATCCAGATCACTATAGCAAAGGAGTCTATTTTTTTTTTTTTAAATTCCCAGCACGCGTTGCAGATGGGAGCTAAAATCCGTGCCTTTTTTCTTTTCTGCCGGCTGTACGCAGTGTCCAGTCCAAAGGGCACAGAAACCTGCTGCGGGTTTTCCCCTGCTGCGATCCAGGGAAATGAACTATTTTAATGAAATAGTCCTGCTGTGGGCTAGCATGATCTCACAGGCTTTGACAGTATGCCAGTGTCACCAAGCAGTACCACGCTGATTTCCTGGAATGGAAATTTGGCCTCCTTGAAATGAATTGTTGTTTCTCAGCTTCCTTGGGTTGCAACAGCCCTGCCAGTATCTGCCTGTATACACTGAGGAATGAACCCTGGAAGCTCACTTCCCTCCTGTTTCTCTTTGCAGGTGATCACACTGGAAGGTTGGGTGGAGATCATGTACTACGTAATGGATGCCCATTCTTTCTACAATTTTATCTACTTTATCTTGCTGATAATCGTAAGTATAAGACTTGATGACTGTCAGCATTGCAAGCTAGAGCCTACAAAAAACTGGTTGTTAGGTCAATGCAGGTACCAGGGAAGAAAACTACTTTACCTGGATTTCTTCTAGGAATCTCAGGAACCCAGCTGGTTGATTTTCACCAAGAGTCGGTGGCAGGATCACATAGTTGTCAGACGGGTTATTCTCTTTCACTCAAAAAATATGCTCGGGATTGATTCCTAGAGATATACATACCCAGTGTAGGATAATGTTCTCATCCACAGATCTTTTCTCAAAGTAAATTCCCCAAATCACAGAAAAGCACAGAAAACCATTTCTGTGTCTGCCCTCCTACTTGGTCTCTTTATACTTTTTAATGTCTTGAGTCATTCTTGAGCCATATTTTATGGCTTTTGGCAGCACCTGGATTTCTCAGAATCAAGGTCTCAGATTCAGATTTTGTCAGATTCAGGGTCTGTCACACTGAATTACTTCCTCACCATGAACAAATATAAGTTGCTGCTCCAAAAGTGTCAGCAGTCCAACAGAAACTGGCTATGTGAGATCACCTGTGGCTGGTGGGGATGGAAAGAGAGAAGTGTGTCAGTGATAAGAACTTAATAAGCAGCTTATAAGCCCTGTGGATTTATACAAGTGAAGGTTGAAGGTTGCTTTGCTGTAAGGACATTTGTTGTTGGTACCTGGAGAGAGAGGTGAGAAATGTGATGCCCTTGCCTCTTCCATTCCTCAAGCCTCCCACATGTAAGTGCATTTTCTTGGAGGGAATATCCTCTTTCTAAGAAGGAAGGATTTTGTTTTTTTGAAGACTCTTGCACTTTTCCCATATGGAGACCAAAGTCAAGACTAGAATGGAAAGACCTAGGATGGATTATGGGAAGTATAAAATCTGTACACAGTAGGTGCAATTTAGTTCTAGGTCACTTAGCCAGTAAGGACCTCAGTGTGTATCTCCAAAGCCTACAAGCATTTGGATGGGCTGCTGAATGGACCTGGTTAAGACTCTGCTCTTCACCTACTATTTGTCCTATGTGGCCATGCCCTGCTAGAAATAGGATCTCTAGAAGCAGTCACCTAGTAATGCTAACAGACTCACCTGGCAGAGGATCTAGTTTAAATTCAAATTGATATGCAATGATTTGAGAGCAAACAAACCTTAATCCAGTTTCTGGGAGAAGTTCTGCAGCCTGTACATACGGGGAGTGGCACAAAAAAAATCTGCTGGTCCATTTAGGTCAGAGAACTTACGAAAAAGCTGAATCTTCATGATATCCTCGATTTCTCCCTGCCTTCTGGCCTTCTACCATCACAAGGGAAAGACAAGGAGAGAAAAACAGAAAGATGACCTACTCCCTGTGGGCTGCAGCATGAGCCAGGACAGCAGAGGTGAAATACATCTTGAGGAATGCTGCTTTTACTTTGAGGCTGGAGAGTCCCAAGGAGAGACAGTGCAGAGGTATGACTGCACAGAATGAGGGTAGAAGTCCCCCCAGCTCTATTCCCAAAGGCAAACTGAACATCCACTGCTTTTTGTGAGTTCAGAAAACAATTATTTCCCATAAAGTTTGTTCAGATCCCCCACTATGCAATAGACATTTAGCACCTACTTGCATTTTCACTTTGAGCAGCATGGCCAGGATACCCAGGTTTGTACAATGTGCAGTTCGGCACAGACTTTCCTCCTGGCCTCAGACACAGTCTCTGCCAGAGCCAGGAAGGACTGTGCAGAGTCAGTGTTTAACCATTGGGGTGGGCATGCCCGTCTCCTGCGGGCCAGTTCCAAAAACTGCCCCTCACCCCTGCTCCAAACTACATAAATTCTGTCAGCATATTTTTGGTTTCTAAGCAGGAGCATCCTTCTAGTGCTGGCTCACCTCATGTGGATTCCCAGCGATTCAAACTTTGTCTCTGAATTTGCAGGCGGCTGAAAACCCTCAATTAAACACTCCACCTGAGATTTTACTGCGGAGTGTCATTGACATTTCTAGACACTCCTTCCTCATTTGCAGAAGCCATCTAGGTTTATTTCCATCAAACACAGGAGCATACGAACCTCAACTTATCCTGGGGACTGCTCAGAACAAAGCCATATGCTAGATGGGATATTTCCTTTGCCTTTGGTGGCATTACACCAAGAAAGTATTTAGCCTTTCTGTTACCTTCTTTGCACGTGTAATGCACCTTTTGCAGCACAAAGCAACACCACAGTGTGAGCTTGCTATCCCTTGGTTTCATTTTCCCTCTGAGTTTTCTTATAAAAATGACGATCCCTCTTCAAATCTCATGAAGCACAGTCCTTCCAGCCTTTATCCTTCCCTCCTTCTGCATGGTCGAAAGGCCTAGGTTTCTCAGCAGGATTGCTCTGACAGTCATACTTCAAGCCCTGACTCTTTGCTTTTCCACATACATCCTAGCCTTGGCTCAAACTTACTCTTCTGGGGCTGGATCTCGGCAGCCTCTTCCTTAGACCTATGCTTTCATCCATGACTTCTCCCTCCCTCACAGAGATATCTTCAAACACCTGCATAAGGGCATTACCTGCTACTGCTCATCTGGCAGGAAGAAGGCTCCACCACCTGGATATATTCCCGGCATAGTCTAGGATTCCTGTGTAGACGTGCTCCCAGAGGGGAAGAGTGCTGGCTCACCCTAGCACTCAGAGTGGCCTTGCAGAACAACCTGGTAAAAGCATTTTGCATATTCAGCAAATTGTAAATAGCTTCCCCCTCTGCCAGAGACCAGGGAGGTGACATGCTTTCACCTCTCGGGTCGTGCTTCAGTTCGATCTTCCTGCTTGATGTCCAGCTGTCTCTTTGTCACCTCTCCAGCTACTTGGCCACTGGTGTGGCTCCTGGACTAGAGAAAGCTTTTCTGAACTCTCAGATTGGCAACCACATTGCATCACTCAGTGGCCTCCTTGAAATGCTCTGTGCTTACACATGTGGGCTTCAGAAGACAAGCTGTATATCCAGGCATAAGCAATAAAAATAACAGGCAAGTATGTCAGCATCTCCAGCACCAGTCAGATTTTATTAGATATTGCAGAGACAGGGATCAAGCCTTGGGCTGAACAAGGCCAGGATCTGCTTAATCACAGTACAGCTCAGTCTCAGGGCTGAACAGGATTCCTATGTGGGGCTTTGAATCAATGGTTTCCTTCTGCCTCTGTCAGATGCTTTGTCTGACTCTATGTCAGACCCTTTCGGTCTCCCTGCTCAGCTAGCTGAGATGGATCGCTCAATTACGAGTCATCTGGGACCCTTACTGTCCTTCTGCTAGCTGGGAGGCAGAGTCTTAGAGTTTATGGACTCAGCAGAGCCTTAGACTTTATGGACTTGCCTGTTGTCTTAAGGATTAAACAAGCTCATTTGTTTTGCATTTGATGTTCCTAGCTAAGAGGTTTAAGAATTGGGGGCTAGTTGCCACATCCAGTCCTCTCACTCATCCCCTTTTTGGTCAGGTGGTGGGACATCACAGCAAATGGTTCCTGTGAGGACAGGGCTTGGTGATGTGAAACCTGACCCCCCCTCTGGATTCAACCCCAGGCTTATAGTATGACCCTGCTGAGGCCATCTTGTGCCCTCAGCTCCTCTGCTTGTAGCCTAGAGAGAAGGTGTTGCAAGTCTTAATCGCTTGTTGTTTGTGGAGGTGTTGGAAGTTGCAAAGTACCGGGCAGCGTCACAATTAGCGTTCCAGAAATGCGCGCAGAGCTGGTGTCCAGCTCCCAACCCTGCCTCACGCAGGGCAAGCCAAGGGAGATAACTGAATGGGCAAGCCCGTGTGAGTGTGTATCGTGTGGTGCTGAGGGAAGAGGGCAGGAGAGTGCATCGGGGAAGAATTTGGATTCCCAGTCATACTCTCTTCGGTGAAAACACACAAGACATCACGGACTAGGGAAAATCTTGGGGGAAGGTGAAGGAATCCGAACGAGGCATTGTTTTAATTTTCAAGGCCACGTACAGAAGGTGAAGGGAAAATAGGCTGAAATATGGGCGGGAGGATAGGGAAGAGAAGGGTTCAGTGATGAAGGGAAACAGAATTAGAACAGCTTTGAAGGGTGCTGAGAGGAGGAGAAAAAAAAAAAAGCCCTTTATTTTGAGATGGTTTATTGTCCTTATGCTGAATCTGGTTGGGAAGGGCTTCATGTTTCAAAGGCTTATTCAGATGCTAGCAGGGACATCTCCCCTTTGAAATACTGAGAGTCACTGTATTGAGCCTCTGGACAGAGCTGCTGAGCACCTGTGTGCAAGAGAAAGGGACAACCAAGGGTGCAAGCTGGTGGGGGAGTGGCAAGGGCTGTGCACTGAGGGGAAGGCTGCTTGGATAGATAAAACAAGCTAGGGCACTTGCTGAAAAAACCTCTACCTTTCCCATGCAAGAGGGTTAGGGTCAGGTTATCGCCACCTTTGCTTGCCCTCTCCCCTTCACTTATATGGGGGAGGACACATGCGTGAAGATAAGGGCAGGACTGGATCCAGCTCTGTGTCAGAGCTGTTTGCTTGGAAAGGAGAGACGGAAAGGTGAGACTGGGTCCTGTGTGGGTTCGTACAGGAGGAACAAAGTGGAAGGATGTCCCGTAGCAGGGATGCTCCCTGGTCCAGGGGAAACAGAAATCTTGAGCTGGTGCTGCTTCTCCTCCCGGGGGCTGCCCCGCAGAATCCGTTTCAGAGCAGCACAGACATGTGGTCCTTGTTCAGAGATCAGACTCTGTGTTTTATCAGTGCTGTATCACCACTTACAGCTCTACGGGGAGTAAGCACCAATCAAGGCATCGTAGCTTTTGAGAATTATTTTGAATGTGGTTACCAGCCCTTTTATGTATGAAATTCTCATCATGTTGAAGCCCAGGTTTTATCCTAAGTGGAATGGATAAATCTCCTAGTGGAGATTCATCTGTAATTTCATAATATGTAACACTGAGAGTGAGATTTTTACCTCCAGATCTTTCAGCACCAAGAAATATTTGCTCCATTTTACAGATAGGAAAACTGAAAGGGAACATGCAAAGGTGTAAAATAAGCCTGGTAGACTTTTTGGCTTCTATATGGAGAATAGGAAGAACTTGGGCATTTTGTTTTGTTTCTAAGAAATTGGGGGAGTAGGTTGTGGTTGCTTTTGTATTCGAAATGGAAAGCCTACCTAGGCTGGAGAACAAGTAATATAAGAGCTAATATGATATGTATAGTATCAGAAGAATCAGAAGAATAGAAAATGAGCAAGAAAGCATGGTTTTGCCAGACTATTTAGTGTCATTCTCAAAGTCATTAGTTTTTGTAAACTCCTCTTTGATTTCAAGAGCTCATTCATTTCAGCCAAATGCCATCTCAATGTATGGCGAATTAAGGTGTAAATGGCAGAAATAAATAAAATGCTCTGAACATACTGACATGTCCTCCAAGAGTTGAAGACCATAAATGACAGTGCATGATTTTTCCAGTAGTAAAAGAGCAAGCAGAGGAGAAAGCAACCAAATTATCAAACTAGTCCTCTGTCTCCCACCTTCTGTTTAACAGAAAGGAGAGGGAAAGAAAAAGTCCAGTTTTCATCAAACCCTTTGCAGGTAACTTCTAAGTGACTTGCTAAAGGTCCCAAAGCCTGCCAAATGAGCCAAAAGTCAGGCTTGTGTTTCCTGAATTTCAGTTCAGAGCTCTAAATTCTGCATGGAAATTACGTCGAGCGAGTTCTCAAAAACAAGCTCAGCCAGCCCTGGCTTCCTCTGAAATCCCATCTCCGTACACAGGCTGGTTCCCATTCCTCTGTCTGTCTCCAGTCACTTTCCCCTCCTCTCTCCTTTTACAGTCCCTCTCCCGCATGTTATTCCTCGTGCTGACATTGATTGTCCCTTCTTCTCCTTTGCTATTAGGTGGGCTCCTTCTTCATGATTAACCTGTGTCTGGTGGTCATCGCCACGCAGTTCTCGGAGACCAAGCAGCGGGAGCACCAGCTGATGCAGGAGCAGAGAGCCCGGTACCTCTCCTCCAGCACTGTCGCCAGCTACATGGAGCCGGGAGACTGCTATGAGGAGATCTTCCAATATGTCTGCCACATCGTGCGCAAAGCCAAACGCCGCACCCTGGGGCTGTACAACAGCATACAGAGCCGGCGCCAGGGCCACGTGGAGCCGAGCGATGCCAAGCTACGCATGAACAGGAAAAGCCAGAGGCACTACAGTAAGGATTGCATGGGTAAAGCTGGAAATGCCAATAGTGGAAATGTGAGAGTAACTGGGAGCATCTCCGTATGCCAGCTTGCCAAAGGACCTGTGCCTACAAAGCACAGAATTAGAATTAATATTAATATTCACCATTGAGCATGGGGCCATGGCCAGCGCACCAGACCAGCAAGGAGGGGATGACCAGCAAGAATGGGAATGAAACAGGGGTGACCAGCAGGGAACATTGGAAACCCAGGTCTGAAACCCGGACACCACAATGGGATAACATTAAAGGCACTGGCTGAGGCTTGTAAAGGGCTCCAAGTCTGGTATAGCAGGATGATGATAGCAGTTTGGGGGAGAGAAGTATTAGGGGGATATGACTAAGGATTGGACTCGGTGGCACAGCAGGTCCCCCAGAGCTCTCCTCCCAAACTGAGTTGCTGTGGGACCTCAAGAGAGAGGGAAAGGGAGTAGAATTGCAATAGGGTGTCTCCTGAATCAAGGGAGCAATACTGAAGAAGTCAGTTTGATATGCAAGGGCAATGGAGACAATTTCTCTTGATGGGAGCACATGCTGTTGTGTAAAATTTGACACGAGATACCATTTAAATTGGATTCCTGGCCTGAAAAGTGACTGTAAAAATGGTTTTATAGAGTTAGTATTAACTGCCTGCGATGCCTTTCCGAAGTTATGCTCCCATTAACAAGCAAAAAGGCGGATTTTCCTTCAGCTGGTCTTGCATACTGTGTCTTTCATTTTCTTTACTTGCTGGGAGAAAAGTTTCTGCAGGCTTCATCCACTGTGTTAATGAATTAATTGCTTCATTCCCCCAGTGTCCATTTGATCTTCCAGGCCCAACTGGAGGATCGAGGAACACAAACTTAGTTTTGTCACTGAAGTCAGGAGATCTATTATGATTCAGAGCGCACGCACTATCGGGAGAAAGTGTTCTTGCGCTATCTTTTCTAGCTTCTTGAGATGCTTTGCTAATGTAGCTTCCGTAATTTAGAGAGTTCAGCTCAGCATGTGGGTTCTTGGACCCCACTTGTAGCAGTTCAGGCCAAAAGCAGCCCTGGTGATCGTTTTTCCCTCAGTTCCCACTTAACACAAGCTACTGAGTCTCAAGCTGTGATTCCTGCATCAGACAAAACAGTTCTTCCTCTGATGGACGTGAACCCCCGTTGAGCCTAATCATTGGCAGCTGAACAGTACCATGCCTTTTGGACAGTCAGTGTAAAGCCCCCAATTGCAATGGCTTTTATTTCTGCCCTTGAGATGACATGCCAGTGTTTAATCATCCTTACAGCTAGAAAGCCCAGTTACCCTGTCTAAATAACCAAAAACCAAACAGGTGCCCAGTTTGGATGTCTTTTCCAAAGCCTTCTCCTTTAAGCGTGATCATTTCTCTCCCCAGGGCTTTGCCAGCAGCACAATTCTCTCGACTGCCCTCCTCAGGGCTTGGTCCAGCCCATTGCTGTGACAGCAACCTCTGATCCCACCAACTGCCCCCGATGTCATAGCGGGGAGCACGAAGCATCCCGAAGGCTCTCTGTCCTGGATAGCGCTGACTCAGACCAGGAGGATGGACGAGCCAGCGAAGAGGAGGGAGAGGGCAGCAGAGAGGACCAGAGTGCCTCCGAGCTGGAAAAGGAGGAGGAGGAGGTGGAAGAAGGCGGACGGCTGAAGTTCTGCAGTGACATGTGGCGAGAAGTGAGGGTCAAGCTTCGAGGGATTGTGGACAGCAAGTACTTCAACCGCGGGATCATGATCGCAATCCTAGTGAACACTATCAGCATGGGCATCGAGCACCACGAGCAGGTAAGGCACCGCAGGGCACAAGGTGGGCGGCAGGGTCTGGTGAGTCCTGCTTGGGGTTATGGCCTCGCTAAGCAGCTGATGCAACTCAGTGGAGGCAGAGATTGAGCAATTTGGACCCCAGGCCGCAGCACAGATGGTCCCAGCACGGCTTTGGAGAAAGCCTCAGGAGCTTGCAGGGTCTTTTCTTCCTTATCCCTGCACTTAATCACTTTCACTGTCTCCTTGTATTTTCCTCTCACCTCCTTTCATTCCCTCTCTTTTCCTCCTCCCCGCTGACTTCTATTCCTCTGTTTTTCTTTTTTACCCTGTCTTCTCTTTCCATCTGCTTCTCTCTCCTTCACCCCCGTCTCTTCCATCTTCCTCATCTCTCTCTCTCATTTCCTTCTCCATTAGCTTACTGAATCCTTAGTCTATTTGGTTAATTTAATGTGCCCTCTGGGGATGTCACAGGCACTTCACCAGCATCTCAATTCAAATCCATCAGCTTGCTAGCCTTTCCAGCTTAATTAAGAGATGCCTGAGCGCAGTCTATCTATACAAGAAGGCTAGGAAAGGCACCACCTCCCATCTCCAGTCATTTTTGGGGCTCAGATGGCTTAAGCCTTTCCTTTGCCCTGACAGCAAGAAGTGGTAGATAGGTCAGACATAGACAGCAGGTATGGACACAGGTTTGACTTTCATGCCAATAGTTTGCAGGCAGCTCTGAGTCAGCAGTGCACTTTATCCTAATGACAGACTTGTGAGATGGAGAAGGATTGTGTGCCCTCATTTTATAGCTGGGAAACAGAGGCTGTGTCTACTTTATGATGTGCAGAGCCAGCTTCAGAGGGTGTTAAGCACGCCCATGACCTTGCATCTGCATTGCTGGCTGGTAGCTCTGCTGCACTTTGCATTAAAGGAGTCCACGCTGTACATCCAGATCTATGCCACTAGTCTGAATGTGACCATGATTCGCTCCACGTGTCTGCCCACATCACATAAATAAGAGATCGCTCCACTACTGAGATGCTGACTGCATTGAAGCTTTGGAGCCAAGGTGAAGTCTAGTCTTGAACACAGTCTCAGGCAGCAAAGAGACAGGCAGTGAGTCTGGTTCAAGCAAGGCACACAGATTTGTCCTGTGCTGTATCAGGATGGAGATATCTTGAGACCCAGAGTATCTTAAATTCCCTGTTTGAGGCAACACAGTGTCTGAGCCAGTATTTGAAGCCTCAGATGTCTGGATCCCACCCACATACCAAGCATTAGACCATTTTTCAAAGCCCAGCTAGTTTCTGATACAAGGATGGGAAACCTTAATTTGATCCCAGAATGCAAAACTGCACTGGATGCTTCAGTACCAGAAAAATACTGGCAGGAGCTCAGAGGAGAGGAGAATGAAGAAGAGGCTGGAGGGGTTGACTCATGAAAATAGATTAAAAAGAGCGATGTATTTATCACGTAGCAGAGAGATGACTAAGGGTTGAAGCCCAGGACAATATGAAAACTGCCCACTGATGTTTTAAAGATGTGAGCACCAAGCAGGGAGAGCCATTGTTCGTTTTGGTTTATTGGAGACAGTGTGAATTAAGAGTTTAGCAGAAGAATGTTTGAGCTGGAGGTAGAGAATTCACTCTCATGTTATGGCTATTGTGTGTGCAGATTTAAGCCCTTCTAGGCCGCGTCTGCTGTGTTTGTACAGCCCGCAGCAGAGTGGGATCTGCCTGCAGCCTTGGGGTTTCTAGTAGCAGGTTATTAATGACACGTCCTTAAAGTTATGCTATCACTTTTTATCCATAAGTAGCTAGGAAAAGCTTATGACCCTGCATGCTGTTTCTACTAGAAAGAGACGTCAGTTGAATTGATCATAGCTGAAAAATGTGGTGCAGCCTGTTTATTTAAAATATGTGTACTGAATCCTGTTTCCCTGGCACAAAAAGATAAAAAAAAATATATTTAGACCATACCATGAATTCCAAGTCCTTTTCAGTCAGCAATTAACTCAAAAGCACACAGGCATTTGCACTTCCCTTTGCTCTCTTTCAGTTTTCCTCAAGCCATGCTATCAGTACATCTCAGACTGGTGCTTCATCGCCTCTTTTTCTCTCCTTCTTTTCTCTTTTTCCTGTTGTTTTTCCTCCTATGAAACACCAATTTTCACAGAACAATATCCAGCAAAACCCCTCTGCCTATAGAGATCTGTGATTTGTAGGGTGACGCCATCCTATGGCTGAAATAGCTTCCGTTGCTTCAGCTATTTCATCATATGAATGTCTCCTGGCCCAGAGCTAATGCATATAGAGACCTCTCGAGCTTTTATTTTCTGGTGCATGGGAGATCACAACCCCAGCCACTCTCTGGGGACGTATCTGGCTGGGCAAGAGGGTGTGCAAAGGTGTCACAAGTTTGGGCAGTCCTGGGAGCAGCTCATGGAATGTCTGTCAGCTCCTTGCTGCTCCACTTGTTCACGGACAATAGCAGGTGAGCTGGCCCGCAGACCAAAGCTCCCACCAGCCACCAGGTTAAGGGGTGAGAGAGACTGCAGGAGCCAGGCACAAGGTTCAGGCTCAGAAACACAGGAACCTGGGGGACAGAGCCCGTGTGCGAGCCTTGCCTTCGATTCCTGAGCCTTGACCAACAGAAAGAAAAACAGGAATTAAAATTATCTGTTTGTTACAATTCAGGTATTTAATATTCGCAGTGTTTTTCTACCGGGAGACTTAACCTCAGCAACTCAAACCACTTTACTCGGATCTAAATCATCATGGAATTTGGCTTTGTTTAGCTTATCCATCCAGTCCTTTGTCCTGTCCTATTTCTGTGGCCAAGGCAGCTTCCCATCTCCTTATACATTGGTTGTGAGGGAAATCAACTCATTTTGGGATAAACTGCACTGCACTGTTATGAGTAATTTTTAATCCTTAAGCTTATCACAAGTTATCACTTGTAAATAGATAAGTTTATTCAGATCCATCAGTGTGCATTATACCATGTAATATCCTCAGTATTAGGCCTTCAGATATTGCTGGGACATTGCACAAGCCAAAATCCATAATTTCAAGCGTTGTCCTGCTTGAAATAGTTTTTGCAGTTCTTCAGATCTGTTTCTACTTGGAAGTGCCTATTTTTAAAATCCAGTGTAGAAAATCAAGATATTAGATGCTTGTGGCTGTCCAAAAGGATCCTTTTAAGAGGCTTACTTTTTTTTAATATTCACAGAGGATCTGGTGCTGCTCACTTTTCTCCTTTATTCAGCATGAAGATGAAAGGCTGGTCCCAGCTGAATGTCCAGGCTGCCTTTCTCATATATTTCTTGAATGGGTGGTTAGACTCAAGCTTCTTTGCCATTAGTAGCCAGTGAGACAATTGCTGAGTAACTTGGTTTATCTTCTGCAGTATCTACTTACAGTATTCCTTCGTACATCAGATCAATATTTTATGAGGTCTGTCTTGTGTGGATCAGGAGGCGATCCCTTGTTTCCTAACTAGACCAGCCCTGTGGATCAGTACCTTCATATCCTTTAGCCTGTGTGATTTCCCTTTATACCAGCATTTATTGCATCCACAAGTTCATATTTTACAGTTATTGCTTCTCTTTTTACTATTTGCTGCTTGTCAGAAACGTTCAGCAAATGTCCAAGCCAGCTCATCATACTGACATTTGGTAAATGATGGAACAGTCTCCCTGGGGTGGTAGATGAAACCACATTACTTCAGTCTTGTAAAACTAGGGTATAACAAAACATCACAAAATCCTGTATTGCTTGTGGGGTGGTGATTAGAGTAAGTAAAAGCTAGTTGGTATGTTCCATGGCTGATTTCTATGCCTCTTCTGATTATTGTCAAATGACTTGACAGTAAGTGAGTAAAAATGGACAGGCTGGAGAGACCTCCCTATGAAATATTTCTCTCTCATTCTCAGAGGCAGTGATGTGCAGGTGTGGTTTGGTAGGTCTGGTCTGCATAGATCACATCAATTACTCTTCAGTTTCGAGACAGTTGCAAATTTACTCCTGGTTGGGAGAAACTTCTGTAGGGGCTTCATGGTAGTCTGCATATTCTTAACCTTTCCTATAGTGCAGGAGTTTCTGGCTGCTGTCAGATAATGGACTAATTACATTTTCAGTCTAATTGACATAAGAACTCTAATGTTAGTTAGTAAGAAACTGAAAAGGCGGAAAAAAGCTGAGCCGCTGCCTTCTATTGCCCCAGTTCTAGTTTCTGATCACTGGGCAGGAGCTCTGAAGTAGATCTGAATCATACATTTCACTCTCAGTATTTTGTCTACATTGTTAGGGATGAAGGACTTTTTGCCATGACGAAGTGAATTAGGTAGTTTCATGGATTTGGAAAGACATCCATATGCAGAGTAGGTGAACCAGTCTGGTTAAAACACTGGCTCTGGGCATGCTTTGCCCCGTGGGGTCTCTCTCCCCTTCAAGCCACCTCCCTCACCCCAATACTCAGCTCCCACAGTTTTGTTCAAGTTTCTCTCCTAGTATGATGGGTAAACCAGTCTGTCCTGGCTTGGCAATATACACACTTCTCATACTCATACTTCTGAAAATACACCCAGGAATTAAACATGTCTGTGAAGGCATCAAAAAACAGAGAGGATTTTTGTACAAGACTACGGACATTTCCCAAAAAGCTGGACAACCACAATTGTTCTTGGTCTGTATATTTTATTTACTTGACTTCATGGAAATATCCTAGGCTCTGAAAAAAAAAAATGTATTATCTGCAGCTATCATATATATTAAAACAAACAAACAAAAAGCTATTGTACAGGAGGATGGTAATGCCAGGAACTGAGATCTTCCTTCTTCTCCATTTATCTCAGCAATGCACTCTTAGTCTGATGACTGTGATATTGAGTATTGTCAGGTTGGGTTTCCACTAATTAATGAAAAACAGGCTGAAAGCACAAAGGATTAATTTGGCCTATTCAATTTGATCACAAACATTTTGAGAATCTGTTTAGCTTTTTTGAATGGTGTGAGGTAAACCGAGAGAAACATCTTGTTTCAGATAGAGAGATTCTTCTTGTAGGGAGATTTCTGGTCTTCCCTGGTTTTGCTTGGACTAAAATAGCCTTGAGTTCAGTCCTTTCCTCGTGGACACTTCAATTTACAGTTTCTAGGTAAACCTGGGTGGCCTGGGAGGAGGAAGCCTTGCTAATGGCTTTGATGATAAATGCCTGAGTGCTGTCTGTGGGAGCCTGGCGAGCTCTCACAACTGTGAGATGACACATTGTCATGGTTTAACCTTAGCCAGCAACTAAGCACCACACAGCCGCTCGCTCACTCCCCGCTGGTGGGATGGGGGAGAGAATCGGAAAAAAGTAAGAAAACTCGTGGGTTGAGATAAAGACAGTTTAATAGGGAAAGCAAAAGCCGTGTGCGCAAGCAAAGCAAAGCAAGGAATTCATTCACTAATTCCCGTCGGCAGGCAGGTATTCAGCCATCTCCAGGAAAGCAGGGCCCCATCACGCGTAATGGTTACTTGATAAGACAAACGCCATCCCCCCTTCCTTCTTCATCCCCCAGCCTTATATGCTGAGCATGACATCATATGGTATGGAATACCCCATTGGCCAGTTGGGTCAACCGTCCTCACTATGCTCCCTCCCAGCTTCTTGTGCACCTGGCAGAGCATGGGAAGCTGAAAAGTCCTTGACTAGTGTAAACACTACTTAGCAACAATTAAAACATCAGTGTGTTATCAACATTATTCTCATACTAAATCCAAAACACAGCACTATAGCAACTACTAGGAAGAAAATTAACTCTATCCCAGCCGAAACCAGGACACACATCCATTGTGTTGGGGATTCCATGTATGGGTAGGAAGAAAAGGAGAGAACCACTTTTTCCCTGTTTGCTTGCCCCCTTCATCAAGGTCACACTTCCCTGGCCAGAGAGAGTCCCCCGCACCAGCCATGTGCCAGCCACCAGCCTTGTCCACTGTCACTCATGGCCACACTGCCCCAGGTGCGAGGGCATCCCCACACAGGACACAGCCCCTGGTGGCCCCCACCCTGCAGCCTCTGCTCCCAGCTGGTGGCTCTCTGCACTCCACCGAATTATCTGTATCTCCAGAAACGGCTGCAATGCAGGATCTGCCTTTAGCCAGTGAGTGTGCCTCTCCAGCTGGCTCCTCTCTCTTTTTATTTTCTTTTTTCCTGAGTTCATTCCTTTTGTGTTGCTCTTCCTTCCCCAGCCTTTACTTCTTTCCTACTCCATTTTTAAAAATCTCTCCTTCTTTACTGCTTGTGGGTGCCACTGAGTTTATTTTACTATTCTTTTTTTCAGCTTTGTTTTTTGATTTCTCTTTCGCTGCCTTTCTCTCTGCCCATCTCTCCTTCCTTTCCCTGCCCAGTCTTTCCTGCCCCTCTCTCTAGGAAGGATGTTTTGCTCGGGCTGATTGATGGCCCATTAGAAAAAGATTAACAGGTGGAGGCTTGACTAGAGAAACAGATGTCAGGGAGGGAAGGAGAGACAGGGGAACAGGTGACCTTTTCCACAAGCGAGATGCAAGCATGGCTTTTCAAACAGCAATTGCTCCTTACGACAGCACAAGAGAGGATGTATGGACAGCAGAGAGGAGGATAATGCACCATCATAGCCTGTCGCTTTTTTACATTGATTATTCTCACTGACATAATCATTTGATTCAGGCTGAAACTGGCATCTCTGTTTAGCATATGGACCTTATGTTCCCGGCAAGTGTCATTACTGCCTGGCTCTCCGTGAAGTGATCTTCATCTCTCCCTTCCCGTGTGCACTTGCTCGTTCTTTCTCTCTCTTTGCTTTTATCTCCCCTCCTTTCCCCCTCGTTTTCAGGATGGTTTTGTTATTCAAATGTAATTATGGATGGAAATTGAGCCATTTCCCCTTTTCTGATTTTAAAGAAATGGAGTATTTCAATAAAAATAGAGGATTGCAAGAAATTAGCAAAGGGTGTGGGAAGCCATAGATGTGAAGAGCAGTTTCCAGTCCATTTGCTCACCGGGAGGATCTAGCCCCCTGGGGGTCCCAGAGCAGGGGTTAAAGCAGTCCCCAGCTTCAGGGGGAGGGTCAGGCCCAGAACTGCATTCCTCTCTCACTTCCCCTTCCACCAGCTGAATAAGTAACAGGCACAGCCAACACAAAGGCTGCCCTTCAGAAAAACAGCAATTTTGCAGTCCTCGGGGAGAGACCATGACTCCCCTTCCTAGTGGGCACTAATACTGAGATCATGGTAAAAATATTGGCTCTGACCTGCAGGGACTCACTTTTTTGTTTCCGCAGTGCCAGGAGTGTCTGTCCTCTCTTGCCCCAAACAACAGGCTTTTGCAGTTTTCTTGTTCCCATCCATTCCATGTGATGCTTAAAAGATGCTCAGGCATAGCTCAGACCAATGTGAAGGAAGAGGGGAGTCTTCAGCAACCTTTTTGGCACAGATATCCAAACAGTGACAGCAGTACTGCCTGCTACCACAGAGCCTGGGTCAGACTCACCTTGAAGGCTGGGAGCTGGGGCTCAGTGGCGCATTAGGTTAAACATCAAATATGTAACCTTGTCTGAGGTGTGACATACCTGCCCCAAGGTCAACATGGAAATCTGGGGCAGAGGAGCTCTAAAGAAGTGCCTTGGAGCTGCCGTGCCTTGTCCCTCTGCCTGGGAAGGTGGCACACCTTCGTCTGGAGCAGGTCCCCACCAGCTGCTGCTTGGGAAGGTGATGGCCAGCAGCATGCTACAGCCAGGTGAATTACCCTAGCAGTCTCATGCAGTCTGAAGGCTGTGGGTTGTCTAGCCTGGCCTCAAGATGCAACCCATTATACTGGTAGGAAGTTTTTCTCCCACTCTGGGAACATTTTGTGCCTTGCCATTGCCGTGGTAGTCTCCCTGGGCTATGTATGTGTGTGTCTGAGTATGTGCAAACACGGGCAGGCTTGCGCATGTGTCGCCCCTCATGCATTTGACCTTGTTCGAGACCTCAGCCCTTGCTATTTGGCCTGGTGCAGTCCCTGTCCCTGGATGAGAGGTGGTTGGAGCAGATGAGTCCATCCCAAATTCAGTGCAGGGAATGCCTCCGTTTCACAGGGGATGTCAAGATCCTGGCATCCCTCATCAATGACATAAGCGCAGCCTCTGTCTCCCTCTGAAGCAATGTTTCATCATTCCTGAGGAAACGATCTAGACCCTTTCCTGACCTTGTCAGAGAAGTTTCCAAGGCTGCACACACTGAAGAAAAAGTCATTAATTCAGAAAACAAAAGGAGGAGTAATTTAATTTGCTCAGACTTGTTCCACTGATGGAATCATTAAAACACTTTCTCTCCTATGCACAAACACATCGGTCTCTGCTGGAGAAGGCTGTATCACAGGGGCTGAAAGACGTGTCAGAGATTCAACAGAAAAAAATGCCTGAGGCAGGGTCAGATTGCCTTTTTTTCTTTCTTTTTTTTTTTTTTTTTGCTTTCAACACAGTCATCTTGTGTCATCCCTGGAGGTTTTCACCTTGTACATCTGCCTTTTTCCTCTTGCTGTCCATTTTTCTCTTTTTCTCACCCTGTCCTGCTCTTCCTGTCCCTTATAGGTAGGCGTTAGCAGTGTGCCCCTCCTCGCTGTTGTCTTATTCATCCAGTCTGATATTTGCTTGGGTGATTATTGAGACCATTCTGAGGACAGAGGCATGAGAAAAAACTGCTGGAGCAAGACCGGAAAACTAATGTATACAAAGGATTTGGTGGGGAGCGGGGGAGAGAAAAATGGGGAAGGGAAAAAATAGAGGGGAAAGGGGCAGAGAAGTGCAGTGAGGTTTAGAGGAAGATGGGGAACTGTTTTTCTATCATTCAGATGTTTTCAGAATTTCAGCAAAAAATTGTGCCAGCTACCTGTGGAGACCTCAGAGGAAGAAATCCTTGAAGAAAGAGGTTGACCACAGATCTGCCACTTTTGCCCTGCTTCAAAAAATACTCAAGTTCTTTGCACAAAGTAAAGCAACCTTTAGCCGGAGGACCAGGGCATGGAATGGGATGTGGGAGACGCTTGGTCAGCCTTGGCTGTGTGAATGGCTGTGGGGCTCCTCACCACCTCTAGTAAAAGCATTTGTTAGGGACGTAATCTATGATGAAGGTAGTAAATGTGCAAAGGAATTGGAGTGCAAGTGGCTCTATCCAGCTCCACTCTAATCTTGCAGCTCCCTACAAAGCCTGTCCCCTGGAAATGGTGGCACTTTATTTCCGATAATTTCAGGGCTCTCTCAGTTCTGACTCTCTGAATTTGCCTTCTCTCCAGCCAGAGGAATTGACCAACATCTTGGAGATCAGCAACGTTGTCTTTACAAGCATGTTTGCCCTGGAGATGATCTTGAAACTTGCTGCTTTTGGTCTCTTTGATTACCTCCGCAACCCCTACAACATCTTTGACAGTATCATCGTCATCATCAGGTGACAAGGGCCTTGGGGATCAACTGAAATACACATAGAAAAGAGTACCACAGAGCTTGCACATTTTCATGTGCCTTTTCAAAAAGGATTTAGCAGCTATATTAGGAGGAGCTGAGCTGATGCACAAGGCCAAGGATTGGGAGACCAAGATTCCCAATCTTTTCCCAACGCTTGGTGACCCTAGGCAAGCCGCATAGCATTTCTGCCCCTCAGTTCTCTCCTCTGTAGAATGGAGGCAATTGCTATTGCCTTGTAAGTCCACCACAAATATTAGCTGTGAAATATTTTAAAAATGCACAAATTAAGGATGCTACAAAGGTTTAATGTGTGATAGAAGGACTTGTCTTGCTGGAATTTAATGCTGCAATCCTTTCCTCATTCCTGCAACATGCAGTGCCATGTTCATGTTCTTAAGGGAGAAATGCAGCTTTCTACACATAAGTAAAAGCCTATAGTATATACTTCTAATTATATCTTCCTCAAACGGATTTTCTCTCTGACCCCTTTATACTTGCTGCCAATGCAGAGGTGAAAACTTGGGTTAGCATTGTTATTCCTCTCTCTTTTCTGTTTGTTCACTGGTCTTTCCTTTTGTCCCTCATATTCCCTGTGCCTCTCTGGGCTACAGCATCTGGGAGATCATCGGCCAGTCGGACGGGGGCCTCTCTGTGCTGAGGACTTTCCGTCTCCTGCGGGTGCTGAAGCTGGTGCGTTTCATGCCTGCGCTGCGCCGCCAGCTTGTGGTGCTGATGAAGACTATGGACAACGTAGCCACCTTCTGCATGCTCCTCATGCTATTCATCTTTATATTCAGGTGAGGAGGCAGTTAGTTGCCTCACAGTGTTTTGGGGATGCACTGCATGGCCCGTGTGGGTAGCAACTTCAAAGCATGATTGCATGACTCGTCTTGCCTGTTGCTGTAGGCTCAGGCAGCACTGAAAAACATTTATTCGTTCATAAGGGCTGA